TTGCAGGATTACAGAAGAGCCAACATTACCTCAATTTTCAAAAGGAGAAAAGAATGAAGTCTACAAACTATAGCTTGATTTATACTGCTGACAAAATTCTAAAAGACATTATTAGAGGAATGGTTAGTGGACATCTAGAAAAGGAGGCAACTCCAGTATCTTTTCCAAGAAAACCCCAAATGGGGTCATGAAGAGTGGAACATGGTTGAAAATGACTGAACAAGAAGAAAGAAAAGGAGGCAATGGTCCCAAATGGCCAGTAAGCTTCATTAGGAACAGGTCAAGCCAAACGAATCATTTCTCTTTTTCCAACAGTCTGTTTCCTCATTAATAAAATGAGGATAATAATGATACATATCTCCCAAGGCTGTTGTGAGAATGAAAATGAGATGATATTGATAAAGTGCTTTGCAAACCTATAAGTTCAATATCAATGTTAACTATTTTAATTACTAAGCTGGAAGTTCAGAAAAAATGTCATGGAAGCATTTGACAAAATCTCCCATGTTAATTCTTGCATAAAAGATGGAGAAATGTGAGACTGAACAATGAAGTGGATTTACAACTGGTTGATTGGCTAGATCCAAAGAGTAGACATTAATTTTTTCAGGTCAACTTTGAAGGTCTCCAGTGGAAAGTCTCAGGTAGCCATTTTGGTTTTGTGCTGTTTAACATTTTTATTCATGTCTTGGATAAAGTCATATATTATCAGATAACACAAAACTGTGAAAAGAACTTCCACACTGATTAATAGCTATGATTTAAGATCTTTACAAGTTAGGCAACTGGGCTGAACTAAGTAAGATGAAATGTAATAGGGATATGTACATATATATGTACAAGTACATATATATGTACTTCACAAGTACGAGATAGAGGAGATATGGCTGACAGCAGGTCATATAAAAAAGAGAAGTGAATCAATGAGAAAGCATTTATTAAATACTTTGTGCCAGACACTATACTAAACCCTGGGAATAAAAAGACAAGTAAGAAGGATAATCCTTACCCTAAAAGGCCTTACATTATAGTGGGGGAAGACAATATATAAAAGGAAGCTGGGAAGCAGGTGGGGAGAAAAGGGTATGTATGCAGCACCATAGTCTAGAAGTTGAGAAGTGTGTGATGGCTTGGTTCTGGGCAAGATAAGGCAAAAACTCACCTATCAGGACCTGGAGTCCAAGGGGCAGAGTCTGAGTTCTGGTGAGAGATGGAAGAAGAGGGTGGCTAAAGTAAAGGTTTAATGCTTTGGAGGACCTAAGGGTTTTAGCAGGCTGCAAGCTCAATGAGTCAATAGCTAAGAAAGCTAATGAAATCTTAGGCTGCCCTAAGAGAGGTATAATGTTTGGGACAAGGGAAGTGCAAATCACACTGGGGTCTTTCCTAGAAACTCAGATAACATCTGGGGCACTGTATTCAAATTTTGCTGCCACATTTTCTGAAGGGCATTGATAAGCTTATAAAATGTCCATAGAAGGCAACCAAGATGGTGAAGGACCTTTAGTTCCTTCCACATGAAGAATGGTTGAAGAAACTAGAGACATTTTGCCTGTAGGAGAGAAAATACAGAGGGGCACAATAGCTTTCTCCAAGTATTTGAGGCTTTATGTAGAAGAAAGATTAAATCTGTCTTGCTTGGACCCAGAGGGCAGTACTAGCAGCCTAGTCCCAATGGAAGAAGAAAATTCTAACAATTAGAACTGCCTAAAGTAGAATGGAATACATTGGGAGATAGGGACGTCCATCTCACTAGAGGTCTTCACATAAAGGCCAGAATTTAGGGGTGAGGAACCTGCAGCCTTCAGGCCACATGTGGCCTTCTAGGTCCTCAAGTGTGGCCCTTTGACTGAATCCAAACTTCACAGAAAAATCCCCTTAATAAAAGGATTTGTTCTGTAAAACTTGGACCCAGTCAAAAGGCCACACCAATGACCTAGAAGGCCACATGTGACCTCGAGGCCACAGGGTCCCCACCCCTGGGATAGATGATGACTTATGAGGTATGTTTTAGAAGAGATTCTTGTTAAGAATCTTGTTAAGAATTCTTATTAAGAATTCTATCCTGGACAGCCTTTGAAATCTTTGTAATTACCTTTCTGGAAGTCCGTATCCTTGTTTTAAAGATTTTTCTAGCATGGTGCCTATTCTACCAAATTGGAAAGGCATCGGGTATAGTCTTGGTAAGAGATCATCTGCTATCCAGGACAGAAAATTGCTCACCAGATGACTCTTTTTTTAGACCTTGGCTACTCATTCAATAAATAAAAATACAAGATAGCCTTAAGTTTTGTGTGACCCTTTGCTGCTTCTGTAGGCATAGACATTAGCAGAGGGATGGAAGAGGGAACAGTGACTGCTAAGAATCATTTCTATAGACAGTCTGTAGGTCTTAACTGATATGTCATTATGCATAATATGTGAACTTTTCTCAATGACCAAGAAATGAATACGCTACTGGAGGGAATAAACCACATCCATATTAACATTCTTGCTATAAATGAATGGTAAAGTTGTTGATAAGTTAACAGGGAAATGGAAGAGTGGTTTGGATATTCTTCTCAGGTAGGTAAACAAAGGAGTTGGTGAAGTTGGTTTCATCATCCACCCAAAAGCTAAAAAAAAAAAAAAAGAAGAGAAAAGAAAAAAGAAAGAAATGTTATTTTGTGAAACCCTTGGCCATCTATCCTTGTAGTACTCATCGTGAATATAAGCTGATAGATATTGTGAGACCAATTGCAACTTGCATACCAATGTTTTTATGAGTGAGGGAGGGAATAAGCATTTATTATGTTATATTGTATATTATGAATGTTATTGTGAAATATAGTTGTATGATATGTAATTCATACATTAGGAATTACATCATATTTTATATGTTTTGAGTGAAGTTGAATGATGTGATATAAAATATATTAGTTGTGTTTGCAGATGATATGATATTTGGAGGGTAGTTAACACATTGTGGGAGAATTTAGATTAAAAAACAGGTCAACAGGCTGGTACATTAAGCTGTACCTAACAGGATAAAGCTTAATAGGGATAAATGTAAAGTCTTACCTTTAGCTACCAAAAAACCCCCCAAAACTCCACCAATACAAGATGAAAGAAATAGGTTTAGGCAACAATTCCAGTAGAAAAAGCTCTTGAGAGCTTAGTGGACTATAAGCTTAATATAAATCAACATTGTAACATAGCACCTTCAAAAACTGCTGCACTAGGCTATGTTAAAAAGCAAAGTGTCTTAGACGAGGAAGGTCACTAGATTCTACCAAGACCAGACCATTCTTAGAGTATTGTATTCAGTTCTGGATTCCACATTTTAGGAAGAACCATAATAAACTGGGGAATGTCCATTAGAAGGCAACCAGGATGATGAAAACTCCCACGTTCATTTCACATGAGGATAGGTTGAAGGCACTGGAAATGTGTTGCCTAGAGAAGAAAAGGTTTAGAGGGTATGGGGCATATTAGCTACAGTGGAAGAAATGTCATAGAAAAGGAATTGGAGAAGACAGAACTAGGCACAATTAGTGGGAGTTTCAGAGAAGCAGATTTAGATTCACTGTGAAGAAAAACTTTCTAACAGTTATAGCTGTTGAAAAAGTAGAATGAACATTGTGGGTAAGAAGTGAGTTCCCCCTCACTAAAAGTTTTTGAGTAGATCATTTGCAGGGATTCTTGATTAGGATAGAGCTTGGTTTAGCTGATTTCAAAGATCCATTCCAACTCTGCAATTCTGTTATTCTAGGATCTTTTCTTGATCTGTTACATAAATGTGAGTTTTAAAGATGATAACTTCAAAATGGGCCTGAAGCGATTAACTGAGCAGGAGTAATGTAGGTAAGCTAGAACAAGGAAGGAAACTCCAAAATATAAAAAGAGGATAACATGTCTTAAGGGCAAAAAAATTAGGTGCACCCAAAGATAAATTGACAAAGCTCAGTTTTTTAGATGAACAAAACTCAGTAGAGAAGAGAAATATCCCTCAAGAACTGCCAACTCCCATTGCTCTAATCTTGTGCACACAAAACAACCTTCCCACCTCTAATTTGTTCTCCTGAGCAAATCTCTCAGGGACCGGAAAAGAAATTCCCAGTTCTTAGGCCAGGTATATCCCCCGTTGTAAATGAACAAATTGGCATTCTTGCTTAGAAAGCAGTTTCTTGGGAATGTAATTAACATGGATTAATCCCTAAAGCCTGATCATCCTAGAGTGAATTTATCAAAACAAGTTTATGAAACTATTATGCTAAGGACCAGACCTTGAATCTTGGTCACCCCTCCCCCCCACACACAAGTGAAATTCATCCCTGATCCATACAACGGACTGGTGGGAGTGGGATGAGGTGGAATGTGTGCAGAGAAGACCCTTCCAAAGAGCAGTGTAACAAGAAAGAACCCATGGGATCAGAAAAAAAAAGCTTAGCATGGAAATTGATTTGGGGTCTAATTCAAGCAAATTCTGGTCATAGAACATAAGAAGAGAAAAGCAACTAGCATGAGGTTCAAGTGGCTTCAGAGAATGCAATTTAAACATGGAATTAAGGAAGCTAAAGTAGCAGAATGTAACCAATGGGTCTGGTTTTATCCAAACTTGGGCTGAGAGGCAACTGAATACACAGGAGGTAAAATAGATGAGAACTGTGAAAACTAAGCTTGTGTGTTCCAAGCCAAGGCAAGATAGACTAAGTAACTACACTGTGTACCTTTCTAATTTACTTAATTCTAAATTACTTAACTATAATGAGATCCCTGAACATTAGTTAAAACTCTCTTGTGCCCCAAGTCATGTGCAGATAACACACTATAAAGAGGCTAAAGTGGAGACATGGGGCTAGATTCTGTCTTAAAGTTGTTGTCTGGAGAGGAAAATTCCCCACAATTCCTTGAGAAAATTGACAGTAATGACCATTGGAGCTTCTGAGCATACTCTGGGTGGTTTAATCTTTATAACCTACTCCATTCTCAACTGCCTCTCTGACTTCTTTTTACCTCGTCAGAGGATTGCAGGTTCTCAATTCTCCCCCAGACTCCAGTATTTTGGACAGTCATTGAGTGGAGGGCAAGACATCACCCAGGATGGACTTATGGATGTGGCTGTGGGGGCCAATGGAAAGGTGCTGCTGCTCAGGTGAGAATTATGCCTGTTTTCTCTGAGCAACCAAGATGTTCTATCCCTAAGTTCCCTTCTTTCTATTGCCTGGAACCCAGGAAACCTATTCCCTACCACATCTTATCTTCTTAAACCTCTGTTCTTTCCCCATAGGGCCCAGCCAGTACTGACATTGGCAGTATCCATGCAAATTACCCCCAAAGAGTTGATGAGGTCTGTGTTTGAGTGTCAGGAACAAGAGAAAACCAATCAAGAAGCTGGAGTCGCCAGAGTTTGTCTCATTATCCATAAGAATACAGCAGACCGACTTGGTAAAAATTAGTGATGATTTATTATGGCATTAAAATTCAATTCAACAAATACTAATTAAACACCTGCAGTGTATAAGACACTGAGCTTGGACCAAGGATTCAAAGATGAAAAATAACCTATTCCTTGTTCTAAAGGATGTCACAGTATAATTAGGGTTGGAGAGGGCAGAGACGATACAACACAGGCTGGTAGATGAGGAAGTCTACCTAAATTGTTATAAGAAAAAGAAAGGGTGAGAGGTCACTTTCATCTGGAGGGATCTGAGAAAATTTTATAAAGAAGGTGGCTCTTCAGGATGCTCTCAGAAAAACCTGGAAAGACTCATGTGAGCTCTGATGCAAAGTGAAATGTACTGTGTACAAAGTAACATCAATGTTCTAAGATGATCAGCTGTGAATGACTTAGCTATTCTCAGCAATTCAATGACCCAAGACAACTCTGAAGGACTTATGATGTCATTTCTCTGCTGAGAGTCCCAGCTGAACTTCTTCCTGCTTGGGTATCTCTACTGACCTGCTGCTGCTTCCTGCTATGCATCTGCACCTGCCAGACCTAGTGTCATCAATACTGTTCTCGGTGTTGGTTCTTTATTTGCTGTGGCCTTCTTCACTGAGTTGCCACGATTACAGATTTTCAGGGGCACCTTAGCTTAAGGGGAGTTGTTCTCTGCTGCTACCTGCAGGTCTTCAGCTGTGATAAGACTTCTCCATAGCAGGAAGAGTGTTTCTCACTCATGTTTATACTTTTAGGTTTATGGTCCCAAGACTATCTTTAAGCATAGGTTATGCAGTCCCCAGCCCAGTAGAGAAGCTTTTTGGCATTTTAAAGTCTGTCCTTTAAACTGCTTTTCTTCAGTGGCTGCTAGGGTAGTCTGTCAATCAGACCTCTGTTATGAGCCAAAAATTCGTTTTTACCCCCATTACATCCCTGGGTTGAGAACCTAGGTCAAGAACTTTAATCATTTCAAACCATTCCAAGTATTCCATTTAGAAAAACTGCAAAGGTGCTGGGTGGAGCTGTGGTGAAGACATTGCTTTCAACTTCTATATTTTTTTTCTGGTTGCCACAGAAGTCAACTCAGGAAAAAGTATAAAGGGCCAAGTGAAGCTGGTAAAGTTGGTGACCTTCCCATCAACAGCCTAAATTCCTTTACTCCATACACACAGAAGGCCTTTCTGAAGGAGTTCACATAAGACATTCTGATCCATCCTTCTCTCCCTGTTTTCTATTCTCCTCCATAAGAACCCAGGGCCCTACTCCCACAGTATAAAATAAAGCCTGGCTTTCAGGAAGGTGGGGATAGATGATCAAAAAGTGTGACTTCCTGGAGTAGATGTTGCTAAGGTAAACATCTACTCACAAGCTGCTCAGATACTCACTTTATTACTGCTTATTTCTCTCCCTAATCACATCGTGTGTGTGTGTGCACGTGCATGTACTTGTGTATGTATGTGGTCCAAGTAGGAACAAGTTGAATAATAAGAATTAAATCACTGACCTAAACATGTTTAATATGATTGTACATGCGTAGGCAATATCAGATTGCATGCTATCTTGGGGAGGTAAGGGGGAAGGAGGGGAATTTAGAACTCAAAATCTTATAAAAGTGAATGTTGAAAACTAAAAATAAGTGAGTAAATGATTTTTTTTAAAAGAGGGAAAAAATAAGTCACTGACCTATAATACAACCCAAGGAATCCTCATTCCCCCTTATCTTAATGCAGGAGGCAAGAATCTGACAGTCATAGTTAGTCCTTCCATTCCTACCCAGGTGAAGTCCAGAGCTCTGTGACATATGACCTGGTTTTGGATCCTGGCCGCTCTACTCCTCGAGCCATCTTTGATGAGACAAAGAACCGTACAAGGAGGCGAGTCCAGACGATAGGCCTGAACAGGATCTGTGAGGACATGAAATTGCTGTTACCGGTGAGCCTGAGCTGGATGAGGGTATTCATCCACAAAAGAAAAACCATAAAAATGAAACTAAGAAACATTCATCCCTTTCCCTCTCCATGCCCCTCCCTTGTGCCACCCCCAAAGTGATACTTCTTAAAATGCTCACATCAATTATGCTGGACTTTTCCTTTGTACTTTCTCTCCCTCTCCCTTCAATCACAATTACTCATGCCCTCGTCTTTCTCCCATCATTGTTGTTGTTGTATCAGGGGTGGGTAAGGCCTCGAAGCCACATGTGGCCCTCTAGGTCTTTTGACTGAATCCAAACTTCACAGAACAAATCCCCTCAATAAAAGGATTTGTTCTGTAAAATTTGGACTCATACAAAAGTTGCAAGCAAGGACTTAGAAGGCCACATGTGGCCTCGAGGCCACAGGTTCCCCACCCCTGTATGTTCTCGTTCCGTCATTTAATCATGTCCGACAATTCCTGACCCCATGGACTATAGCACACTAGGCCCTTCTATCCTCCGCTATCTCCTGTAGTCTGTCCAAGCTTATGTTCTAGCTTCCATGTCTCCTGTCATTAAATCATAAGTTTTACATAGGATAATATATTTAGCACTGGAATTAACTTCAGAAATCATCTAATCCAACCCTTTCATTTTACATATAAGGAAATGCAAAAGATATAATACATGTAAGGAAATTGGAAAGAGACTGAGTGACCTGTCTAAAACTACACAGTAGTAATTAACAAAAGCGAAATTTGAACCTGGCTCCAAATCTACTGTCTTTCTACTACAGCAAGCTAAAATCTTTTTAAAAATAAATTTTAATTGATACCTTTCATTTTTTACATTGCTAGAATTTCTTCCAGAGAGCAATCTCATATAACAAATAATATTTATATAAAGAGAAAAAAATCAGCAAGATCAATTAATATTTTGAAAAAGTCTGAAAATATATACAATGTACCACAGCCACGGACCTCCCGCTCTACAAAGGAGAGCGGTGGTGGTGTCTTCTCATAGCTCTTCTTTGGAACTGTGCTTTGTACATTTTTTGTCAAGTTTTGTATTCTTTGTCATTTTGCAACATTCACTTTTATTGTTTTGCTCTTGTTCTTTCCATTTATACTGCAGTCACGTATACTGTTTTCTTGTCTCTGCTTACTACACTTTGCATCAGAGGGTGTAAATCATTCCAGACTTCTCCGTATTTCTCATATTCATCATTTATCACAGCATAGTAATATTCCATGACATTAACATATTACTGTTTATGTAGCGATTTCCCAACCTATGGGCATCTACTTTGTTTCCAATTCTTTACACTTGTAATTCTGAAATTCTCCCTGATAATCGCCTGTCTTTCCACCTTTCCTACTCCTATACCTGCTCTTTGTCCTCAGAATAAATTTCAGTTCTTTCACCACTACTTTTTCCCCGAGGTTTTTCATTCTACTATGACCTCATCTGTAGAAACAAAATTAGCGTTATGTACATTCTTACAAAAGTATGTACAGCACTGATCTTCACCTCAAGGTGAATCTTTGTATCTTTAGTATCCCAGTCTTTGTATTCCAAGTGCCTGTCAAAGGGACTTGGATTTAGTTGTTTGTGGCACGTTGAAACCAGTGCAGTGGGACAATGTGACCAGATTCCCTCATGCTAATTCCTCCTCAGAAATGTGTAGAGGACTCAGTGGCTCCCATCATCCTAAGACTCAACTTCTCTCTGGTGGGACAGCCCATTGACTCAACTGGGAACCTCCGACCTGTTCTGTCAGCAAACGCTCCAACGCTCTTTACCGCAGCTGTGAGTCCTGGGGCAGTGCTATTGGGGTCCGGGAAAGAGGAGGGATCCAGGAAGCAGAACTTGCCATCTCAGCCTGGGATACACCAGGATGCAGTATTTCTTTCTCTTGCAGCTTCCCTTTGAGAAGAACTGTGGCAATGATAGTATCTGTCAAGATGATCTCAGTATCACCTTTAGTTTTCTGAGGTAAGAGGTATTGCTAGTCTCATTCTTTGTTCTCCTTAAAATTTGCTCTGTAACAAACATCCAGGCATTGTCAGGCTTCAACATTATTCTTTTCCTTTTGCATTATAAATGTTTATTTTTCAGTGAAAACAATGACTCTGACAAGATGAAATTTTGTAGCGAACTGCTAAATAAGAGAACTGACCTATGCACATTTCATTTGCAGGAGATTCGTGGTCTTAATAATCATCCTCATACTTGCATTTCACATATGAACAGACTTGTTCACATATGAACAGTTTAACAACTGTAGAATATCACAAATGATCAAACATTTTTCAAGATCTTTTAGGTCTTTTTCTTTTGATCATATTCCTCTAGACCTGAGTTTGTGTGGTTTACATGAAATAAGCCTGCTGAAACCACCCAAAGCTTTCTTTCAATTGTTTGTTAAACTCTGGAGCAGTATTTGGTCTCGCAAGATTTTTAAATGTGTATTGGTTATCATCTGATCTTTTCGCAAATCAAACCTTACTCTCGCTTTTGCTTTTTCAAGACGTTTACATGAGGTCAAATGTAAATCTTCCTTTTTATCATCCGGAATCCTGGCTGATGTCTACTGGGTGCTCATCCATGTTCAGTGTGATATTTGGTGCCCTCTGGGGGAATGATGTGTATTTCTTTTTCCAAACCAAGGAAATAGCAGTGTCCTTTGTAGAGATTTCCCTAGAAGTAGTCTTGTGAAAATACTATAAAAACAAAGCAAACAAACAAAAACAAGTTAGTCTTGTGGCAGGCTGTGAGGTTGCTAATATCTTAACTGTCTTGTAAAGGGGCCATTTTTGTTTCTCAATGTACTTTACTATTAAAGTTCAGACTTTAAGCTTTCTCTTTTTAAGACTTTTGGGAATATAAATGGTTTTGAATTGTTAATTTCTACAATTCTACTATAGTCAAAAGATTGTGTGGTTGTTGATCATTTTTCAGTAGTAATTTCTTTTGGCTCTATATAAACAGCTTGTAACTCTTTCTGGAACTATGTAACTGTTAATAGTGGTTTCTTCATGTTTGTGTTGTCTTTAGACTTCCCATAACATTGGTTTTTTTCAATTTGTGTCTTCCTCATTCTCTGAAGTTAAATAAACATAAGTATTACTTGATGAGGATAACTCGGATTTGTATAAATATTCTTTAATTTCTGGTTGGACATCAAAAGTTTGGACACATGGTGTGACTACTGGCTCAGGTTTTTCCTTCACAGTCACTTTATATATGTTGATACGTTCTTTTTTGTTTCCAGGGGATTGATTTTCAAAGTAGCTTTTGAATGTTTTATTTTTGGTCTATTGTAGCAGCCATGTAGTTCTTGGATCTCCTTTTTGAAACCAGTTTTGTTTTTTTTTTTTTTTTTACTTGTGGCAGTTGCATTAAATTGTGGTCTTTCGAGGGCAGTGAGATGGTGCAGTGGATAAATCATTGGCTCTGGGGTCAGGAGGGCCTGAGTTCAAATCCGGTCTCAGATACTTGATACTTACTAGCTGTGTGACTCTGGACAAGTCACTTAACCCTGATTGCCTCACCCCCCAAAAAACTGTGGTCTTTTCATTCCTTTCTTAACATTAGTTTTGTTTTTCTTTCTGGTGAATTGCTAACTAGGAGCTCTTGGCTACTTTCTCTCAAAGGTTTTAGTCCTGTTAGACCTTGTTTTCCAACTCTTTCTCTGGAGTATTTATTGCCTTTCATCTTCTCTCACCCATGATGATCTTCTTTTAATACTATGCAAAGTAAAACACTCCCTTTCCAACTTTCTGGTTAGTTCTATATTTCATCTATATATTTCAGCAATAACTTCTTGTGATATATTTCTTAGAAAAATTTTATGGTTTTGCTTTTCTAAAGGCTTTTCCAGAAATTGATTTAGTCCTCTCAAATCTGAGCTTAAATGATATTAGGAAGGTAAAATCAACAGGCCTTGGTAACAGATTGGATGTGGGGATAGGGTGAGGGAATGGAGTTAAGGATAACATTTAGATTGCAAGCCTGGGTGAGTGGGAAGATGGCACTTTTCTCCAACACTGAACAAAAATGCTTGTGATCAGATGACTGAATGACAGCTTAAGATGACAGACCCTGCCCTCAAGTTTACTTTCTTACTGAAAGAGACAATACGCATAGACAAGTGGTAGTTAGGACAGATCACTTTGTTCTGAAAAGTATTTGGGGTGGTAAGAGGGGCCACAAATAGATTATTACAGCCTTCCAGGAACACTAACAGAGTGGATTTGATCAAGGCTCCAGAACTAGAGGTGAGGAAGGAAGAAGGGGAAGCTTGATGGCAAGGCATTTGGCAAAACTATCAAGAAGATAGGCAGGGACTAGAGAGTGGCAAAGCATGACTTCAGTTCATATAAAATGGTGGGCTAGGTAAGGGGTCAGTGACTGACCTGGATAGCAAAGACCTAGGATATAAGTTCTAGAGATGAGAGAGTTCACACTTTCAGGGTCTGCCGGCCTCAAGTCTCTTCACTTTCCAGTCCATCCTCCATTCAACCACCAAAGTGATTTTCCTGAAGTACAAGTCTGACCATGTCACTTCCCTACTTTAAAAAATTACAATTTATCCTATATATACATTGTTTGTACATAGTTGCTTTTAATACTATCTTCCCCTAAGTTCTTAATTACTGACTGCCTCCCTAATTTCCCTTGAAGCTTACAGACCTTGGTGGTGGGAAACCTCCAAGAGCTAAATGTGACAGTGACTGTGAGGAACCAGGGTGAAGACTCCTATAAGACCTTGGTGACTTTCACATATCCTCCAGGACTGTCCTTTCGACGAGTATCAGGGATTCAGGTAACTCACTAAGTTAGTGTCAGTACTGTCCAGTTTTTGCCCTCTACAGAGATCTCTGTCTCTGTGGTAAATTTGGCTACCTCTGCTTTCCTTCCCTCCCACAGAATCAGCCACCTCATCGTTCCATGCAAGTGCCCTGTGAATCAGGAACAGCTGAGAGTAAGAGTGAAAGAAAAAGCCACTGTAGTATTATCCCCATCTTTCGGGAAGGTAGTGAGGTCAGCAATACCACATTGATCTACTTCTTCTTTCCCCCTTTTTCCTTCACTCCTTCCCTTTCAATCTCTTCTCATTTTCCTCTTCTCTCTCTACTCAGATCAATTTTAATACAACATTTGATGTCTCCCCTATGGCTTCCTTTGGAAACAAAATGGTCTTCAAGGCAAATGTGGTCAGGTGAGATCAATGTCCTTTGATGGGAAACCCTACCTTTTGTTGATAGTAGGATTCCACCCTATGCCCACTGGATGGGCAAACAAATCTTCCCTTAGCCTCATCTGAATGGCCCTCCCTCTCTTCTCCCCAGTGAGAATAATGCACCCATCACCAACAAGACTTCCTTCCATTTAGAGCTACCAGTGAAATATGCTATCTACCCAGTGATCAGCAGGTAACATCTCCCTTCACTCCACTCTCCCAGAGGGCTGCTTATGCAGTCTGCCTTCCTACCATGTTCAGACTGGTCCATGGTTGTAGTATTGTGTGGCTATATGTGCTGTAAGTGTATGTGTCACAGGTATTGCTAGCATTTCATACTCAGGTTGATAATTATCTCCCTGTCTTTTACTTTTACTGCTTCTTTACCCCATGTCTCTGGATTCTTCATCCTAGAAGAGGCAGCATGATGCAATGGAATCAGCACTGGCTTTCCAACCAAAAGACTTGAATTTAAATAATGGCTCTGCCATTTAACCATTTGTGTTACCCACATTTCCTTGTTTCTAAAATGATGGGGCTGGGTTGGATGACCTATAAGTTCCCTCTGATCCTATATTCTCTTTCTTGCCCATCACCTACCTGTCCTTTATTCCCCTCTGGCATTCCAACTGATGTATGCTCCACAAATCTCCCTAATGTTGGGTTCTATACTGCCATTTCATTCACCCAGTCAACAAACATTTATATAGAGTGTAAGGTACTATAGAAAAATACAATGGTGCTTAAGAAACAGCCCGTGCCTTTCTGGGGCTTAAAATCTAGTGGAATTGTTTCTTATCTTGTACCATTTTTCATCTTTTTCTTCCATCAGCCATGAAGAATCTACGAAATACCTCAACTTCTCAACCTCAGAAGAGAAGAATAGCCCTGGTTTGAAGCACAAATTCCAAGTAGGGGAATGGTGTAAAAGGCCATGACATCTGGGAAGAGTTGTAATTAGGAATTTTAACACCTGGGGCAAATGCAATTGAGCCTGCAGGGGATGGGGGTGGTGGTGGAGATCTGGCATAACTTTAAAGGTATGACCACTACTGTGCATGGTTGATGTAAACTGGAGAAAGGTCATTCTGGTCAACTGGCAGGAATAGGGCTTTTGAAGGGGGAAGGACTTTTGAAGTGACACAGAAGATGGATATTGAATTTCTTGGGAGAATAACCTAGAGGTGCACAGATTAGGCAGCAGGAATCTGGACAAGAAAGAGTAATTTTCAAAGGAGGTGATTGCTAAGTGATGAAGGGAGAGGGAGAGTCTAAACATGGCAGTGGGGAACAAGGGGTATGCCAACTCTTCATCTTGGCCCTGTGTGCTAAGTGATGTGAAAAAATGAGCAACCAGCTTTAGAGATGGTGCCAAGAGGTATGATGTATTCAGGGGAAAACCAGGTTTCAATGAATGTCAGAAAAGGGAAGGACTCTGATGAAAAGATCTAAGATGAAAGGGATTTTGACAACAGCTAATCATTCCAGAGCACACAATGAAAAAGAGGGCAGAGGAAGAAAGGATGGAGTGGGGCAGAAGTGGGAGAGAAGTGGTTTAGAGGATTAGGACTGAATTGGATAGGAATTAGAATATAGGGTAACAGGGGAAAGGGGTTTTGAAAGTGGGAGCTAGGAGAGACAGTTCAACTTCTGATACAAGTTCTGGAGAAGGGATTGCCTTTTCCTGTCTCCTCTTCTGACTTTTTTTGTCATTAACCTCACTTCCTTGCCCTCTCCTGGGGTGACCTACTCCCCCCACCCTAATTCATGTAGCAGAACAAACTGGCAGATAATCAAAGTTCAAGCAAGGAGGTCTTCAGACAATAGAAGAGAGGAAATAGCACTTCCCCACACTTCAACCAGATGGCATATGGGACAAAGCCCAAACTGCCTTATCCTAGTTACAGTTCTGCACCTGGGTCCTGAAATCTTGGAAATGAGGGATGAGTTCTCTTCCTAGAAGCTATACTACTTGGTTTTAGAAATGAGCAGGTAGAGGAACATAGGAACTGAATGTTTAAATCCACACTCTCTCTGCACAGGTGAATAACTTAGGTCAGCGGAATCTCCCCATCAAAATTGACTTCTGGATCCCAGTTGAGTTGAACAAGAAAAGCATTTGGGAGAATCCTGAGGTCTTCCCCCCCCAGGTATTCCTATTACCCCATTTTTGCCTATATACTCCTGGGTCAAATGTAAAACTCTCCCTCTTTGTTCCCCCACCTTGGAAATTTGTAGGATCTCTCATAGTTCTCTTGGATAAAATTCCAGACTCCCCTTCAGAATTCAGGATTTCTCATTTTAACCTCATCCTTGATAGTCTCTCTCTTTCCTTAGAATCTCTCATGTACCTCAGAAACAAAAGCTCCCAGTCAGTCTGACTTCCTGGCACAGCTTCGTAAAACTCCAGTAGTGGTAAGAAGGGACCCAAACTCTGGGGACACCTGCATGTCACAGCTACAGAAGACCATTGTTAAATTCAGATGCTCTTACACCATATCAGAGCCAGTTACCTGATTTAGTTAGCTGAATTCAACAGCCACTTTTGTGACCTTGGGCAAATCACTTAACTTCCCCTAGCCTCAGTTTCTTCATTTATAAATCAGGGATAACTACACCTACCTCACAGGGTTGTGAGGATTAAATGAGATGATACCAGTAAAACATTTTGCAAATATTAAAGTGCTACCTAAATTTTAGCTGTTTGTTGTTGTTGTTGTTGTTGTTGTTACTTAGAGTACCTTATTTTGTTTTCTGATCTATGAGCTTCTTTCTCTCTCAACTCCTTCCTTCTAGAATTGCTCCATTGCTGTCTGCCAGAGAACTCGCTGTGACATCCCCATGTTTAACACTGAGGAAGAATTTACCTTCACCATCAAAGGCAACTTAAGCTTTGGCTGGGTCAAACAGGTATGCAGACATATGATGAGAGGATCCCATCTGTTCTGCCCACACAAGAATTAGATATGTTCTCTATTTTTTGTCTAAACTCAAAGAACTCATTGTTTTAATCCTTCCTCCATGCCACCCCTTTTCCTCCTCCTACAGACAGAGCGTAATGACCTGTTGGTTACAAGTGTGGCTGAAATAATTTTTAACGAGTCCATATATTCCCTACTTCCAGGACAGACATTTGTAAGAGCCCAGGTAACCTATGTTTATGGGAACTATCTATTCACACATGGGATCATAGACTTAGAGCTGGAAAGGACCTTAGAAGTCATCTAGTCCAGCCTTCTCTTTCAAGAGATGAGAAAACTGAGGTCCAAAGAAGTTAAGTGACTTGTCCAATACCATATAAATAGCAGAGCCAGAATTTGAATTCAGGCACTCTAATCCCCATTTTAACACTCTAGCACTACCCTGTGTAGCAGAGTATAAATATTCCAAGATAGGAGTGGAACCTGGATTTGGGAAGGGTCTGATCTAGGGGGCAATGCTTCCCAGATGCATTATGTACAAATTTGGGGCTTATTGTTTTTTATGAGTCAAAAAAAAAAGGAGTTTTGTGTTGGGTTAGTAACTTGGATTCAAGGGGAATAAGGTTCCAGTAAGAGAACCCAGAGTTTGGACAGGGAAGTCTTGAGTTCTGGTTTGAAACAGATTTGGGAAAAGGGGGTAAAAAAAGTCAATATGATTGCTTCTGTTCATTTAAATTTCTTTTCCTTCAATGTTACCTCTTACCAACTGACATCCAGGCAGAGACCAAAGTTGAGCGATATGAAGTTTATTCTTCTGTTCCCCTCATTGTGGGCAGCAGCGTTGGGGGGCTGGTGCTCCTAGCACTCATCACTGCTGGACTGTACAAGGTGACATCCCTTACCCTACCCTTTATCCCCTAAATTCTTCTCAGATTGAGAGTTTTTCTACCTTCTGAGCCTCTTTCTTTAAGCAATTTTATTGATTAGATTTTGTTTTCAACATATCACACAAACCCTCAGCACACTCCTCATTGAACACATCACAATAAATAGCTCTTCCCCACCACACCCCCAAAAAAACCAGTTGGAGCACTAGGAGAAGTCTCCAACTCTCACATGGGTTCCCTAGAAGCAAGCTATTACTATGAGTATGGATCAGCTTAAAACTATAGCTCATAAGCCCTACTAAAGTGGGGGTCGTGACATTTACTAGTCAACTGGAGGACACCATTCATTCAAATCACAGGCAACTAATGAAAAAATACAATAAGAAAGTAGCAATAAAACATTTTCCTCATAAACTTGAGGCAGAATCTCACAAATGGATCAGTGGGGGGGAAATGGATGATGTGCGGAAACACTTGACACATGTACAGAGAGGTATGCATTGAGGGAATATCTATAGCATAGACCTCATGAAAGGGCAACTCATATTTCTGATGCAACAAGACCTACCATTGTTTCTCATGATGCTATTTTGCTGTCCTCACTTGGACCTGCTGTCTATTGGTCTTGAGAGACATGCAATTTCTGCCTAATGTTGTTTTCTCGGGGATTCAAAGGGTTTCTGCTGGTTGCTGCCAAGTGTGGCTTTAAGGATTGAAAGAAGTTCCAAAGGGTCTATTCCAGGGATGCGGAACCTGCAGTCTCAACATCACATGTGGCCCTCTAGGTCATTGCATGCGGCCTTTTGACTGAGTCCAAGTGTTACAGAACAAATCCTTTTATTAAGGGGATTTGTTCTGTGAAGTTTGGATTCAGTCAAAGGGTCACACTTGAGGACCTAGAGGGCCACATGTGGCGTTAAGGCATAGGTTCCCTACCCCTGGTCTATGATCTCCCCAACTTCCCTTACCTATGCTTGTCCAATAACAGATACTGTCATATATTCTTTTGGGGTGTTTCTTTTTATCAGAACTCCTTCTTTTATCCTTAATTAGGCTCACAATTGGTTATAAAGGCTTGTGTTGAATGTTGCTATACTTAGTCCATGTCAAGAAAAAGGGAATGCTGTGTGACGCTGGGCAAGTCACTTAACCCCATTGCCTGGCCAAAAAAAGAAAAAAAAAGAAGAGAACCAAGAGTCAGCTGAAAATATGCACTATTTAAACTAGAGCCATACCTGAGCAATTATGATTTAATTAGTAACTTTTCATCTAATATAAATGCTACAAAATAGCAGAGGAATAGGGGCCATCTGGATCTGAAGGTCATCATATTGCCCCTAGACTAAAAGCAATCTAATTATCATAATAGTATATGGCTGACTAAATCTCTAACCTCCAACTTCAAAGAAGACAAAAGCAGGGAAGAAAAGGCAATGACTTACAAGAAAGTCACACCTTGATGTGGCCTCATGAGAGGAGATAAGTGTGGCCTAGGAGGATTCAGTTACAAACCCTTCCAGATAGGAGCAAGGACTAAAAAGAAGCAATTACCAGTGGTCCACCCTTTCCTCCTAGAGCAACACCCACTGGTTATAGTTATATAGGTTGCCATTGCTGACTATTTCATCAAGTGCCCACATTATTGATGATGAGCTTCTCTGTACTGAGGTAGACTCATCCTGAGAAAACACAATTAGTCTGTGATTAGGACCATATTCAAAGCCTTTCAAGCATGATAGAATCTACTAGAGTTTGCAGAATCTTTAAGAATCCATGATCACTTCCTTACTACAGTGAAGCATCACTGTAGTAAGTAAGACTTATGGATGTGAACTTATTTATCCCTTTGGAATCTAGTGTGGAATAAGATGCTGTATTGGAAGATATTGGTCTGAACCCATTTTCCACCAGACGGCTATATCATCTTCCCAGTTGTTGAATAAAAATATCTTGTCCTTAGTTCTTTGTATTCTTGGTTAGTATCATGTAGATGGACTAATTTGTTCAATGAATTTGCTAGGAAGTCTTGCTTATCTAACCTATTCCATTTATCAATTTTTCTATTTGTGTATAGTACTAAGTAATTTGATAATTATTTATAATATAATTTGAGAACTGCTGATGCTAAATCACTGTCATTCCTTTTCATTATTACTTTTCCAGAGAATTGTTTGACTTGTTGCTCTTTCATATGAAATTTGGTATTATTTATCTAATTATTTAAATATCCTCTTAGAAATTTAGTTGGTATAGCATTTAACACACAGACTAGAATTTAAATAATATTATCACATTTACTATACTGTTACAGGTTAATTGCCCTCATTTAGGACTTATTTTTGTAAAATTTTGCTTTGTGTTTGTAGTTGTTAGTCAAGACCACAAACATTTAGTAAGTGCCTACTATGTGCTAGGTACTGTCTAAGCACTGACGATACAAAGAAAGGCAAAAACAGCACATACTCTCAAGAAGCTCACATTCTAATAGGGAAGATAGCATAATAACAACTATGTACATACAAGCTGTGTACCGGGTATACTGGTGGCAATCTCAGAGAAAAGGCACTAGCTTTGAGGTGGACCAGGAAAAGCTTCTTGAAAATGTGAGATTCTAGTTGAAACTTAAAGTAAGCCAGGAGTAATCTAATGTGCATTTTGGTAGCTTAATAACTGAGTATTTAATGTATTTTGTTATTTTTAATGATTCTTCTCTTTCTATTTTTTCTTCTTTGTTATTGCTATTAACATGCGGGGTGCTAATTAATTTCTATGGGGTTTATTTTATATCTTACTACTTTGCTGAAGCTATTGTCTCCATTTTGATGACAACTATTCTTGAATGATGGTCTAGACTTTTCCAAGTAAGCTATCATATTGTTGTCAAATAGAGATGATTTTGCTTCCTTTTTGCCAATGCTTATCTTCTTAATTTCTTTTTCTTCTAATTGCCATCATTAGCATTTCTAGTACCATGTAAGATAATAATGTTGATAGTATGCATCCTTGCTTCAGTCCCGATTTTACTGAAAAACCTTCCAGTCTTTCTCTGTTATATAAAGTATCAATTGGTTTTAGATAATAAAAAATCATATTAAGGAAAGTTATTTTCATCCCTATGCTTTTTAGTATTTTTAATATAAATGAATGCTGTACTTTATTGAAGCATCTCTTTATATAATCAATCATTTGATTCACTGGTTGAGGAGACCTAATTTCAAGAAAGGTTGATTTCTATACAGCTCACAACTGCAAGAAGTTATTCTGTGAGCACTGAATTATCAGTTTCTATAGAGTTGAGCTTCTTCCCTTTCATGACTCTATTGCTGCTACGTTTTTGATGCTTGTATGAAGACATCCCCCCACAACATTTGTAATATACAAATGATAAATATATGAAATGTGTAAAATAAAGCAGTAATATAGCTCCTTAGCTTGAGAACAAGTTTCCATATGACTTGGGGAAAAGAAAAAAAAAAGAATAAAAGAAGCTTCCATTTTCATTCCCCTATCTCACAAAAACATGAAAACTGCTAACCAAAAACAATTCCTGTTACGTTCAGTTAACACAAAGTTATTCTTTATTCTTATTTGCATTCAACTCTTTATTACCTTGTTTAAATTTCATCTGCTTGCTTAATTTGTATGTCAAAGGACCTTCATAGTTCTGGATCAATTCATAAGGAAAGATTTAAAATTTCTTACCTCAATGAAGAACCACCTTCTTTCTATGATGGATTCAGTTTTGTAGGAGATCCAATTTAAGGGCACAGGCCAACTTCCTTTGCTTTTCAATATGTTATATTTCAATCTATTATTTTTTTTTTTTTGGCCTCTTTAATTTGTCTTGTGTCATTTAAATTGATGCTTGTTGATATGTAACTTGTTTCCTCCTGGTTGCTTATAACACTTATTTTCTTGACTATGAAGCACTGGAACTTGACAACTGTAGTTTTGAGTGAGTTTATTTAGGATTCTTCTTGAGCAGCATTCTGAGGATCCTATAAATTTTCCCTCTGTCCTATATTTACAATAATTCTTGATAGTTGTCTTGCATTACCTCTTAGGTTATGGTATTTGGACTTTTTGTTTTTCTAGTTTATGGATATCTGAGATCTTCTACTTCTGACATTTAAAAAAATGACTGTTATTTGTTTTATCTCTTTCTTTTTTCATTCTGTCTGAGTCGTTCTATCATAGTCTATCACTTCACTGAGAATTTTCCACTGATTTTTCTACTTTCTCAATTCTCATTTAACTTCTTGAGTTATTCCTTCAGTGATTTTATTTTCAATCATATAAATTCCTTTCTTTTTCATATTTTGATTATAAACCATGCTCTTTAAGGATGTTCATTCTCAGGGCAGCTAGGTGGCACAGTGGATAGAGCACCAGCCCTGAAGTCAGAAGGACCTGAGTTCAAATCCGACCTCAGACCAAACACTTGACACTTACTAGCTGTGTGACCCTGGGCAAGTCACTTAACCCCAACTGCCTAAAATTTAAAAAAAATTTTAAAAAAGGAAAAAAAAAGAATGTTCATTGTCTCTTCTAGAAGTATAGTTGTCATCTTTGTCATCACCTTTTCTTTCATTCTGAAGATTTGACCTTTTTAATTTTTTTGTCATATATTCATTGTTATGGGGCCTCTTTTGTATGTACTAATTTCTTTGGTTTTTCTATTAGTTTTCTGTGTTTTTTGTTATTTCTTTCTTTTCCTTTGTTTCTTCATTGCTGTTCTTACATTTTATTTGGAGCATTTGCTATAGATTTGGATTAGTACACAGAAGCTTGACTTAGTTACAACTACTCACACCACCATCTTGCATAGCTTTTTTTCTTTTCTTTTCATCTCTCCTTTCTTCTCATTATGTTTTTCTTACTCTTTACATAGTGTTTCCCTTCCTATTTTCCAACATCCTTGCCCTATCTTTCTTTGTTTCTGCTTCATTTCATATTTCTACCTCTCTGGGTCTTCATAGTAAGCTCCCCATCATAGTCCCCACCTCCTTGATTTATTTCTGATATGAAAGTAAGAAAGAGGGAAATATCTATGATTCTCATCACTTTCTCACTAACTCTGTGTCTCTCCACCCCACAGCTTGGATTCTTCAAACGCCAATACAAAGATATGATGAATAATCCTGGGGAAAGTGCACCTGACACAGCCCTTCCTGAATAAGTGCTCTTTCTTTCACCTTCAACCTCTTCAAATGGAGTCCAATAGACTTTCGTTAAACAAGTGCACCAGTTCTCTTCTTGCTCAGGGTCCAAACTACTTGTTTCCTTCAGAAGAAGGGAATGAAGTGTTTTTTTCCCTATGTGCTTGTCCTCTCAAGGAGTAAAATATCTCAATTTATGCATGCAGATCACTGAATGAATGGATATGTGAAATATCTCTCAGAAATGAATTGCTTGGCTTTTCAATGTGTGTGCACATTTATGTAGGGTGTAACTGTCTTAAGCAGAGGTTACTGCAACCGGCAAAGCCCCTCTGGCAGGATGAGAACTGTTTATGGCTCACATATGTGTACATAAAACCTGAAATAGCAGATTACTACCTGTTCTTTCTCTTGAGTGGATGTTTGTCCTTGGATATAGGACAGGGAATGGCAAGGTGGGGTAAGAATGGGGCATCTACCTTTGTTCTAACTGGAAATAAAGAGAAGTCAGATTTTTTTTTTCTTTCCCCACGTGAGAACATTTCCAGGAGAAGCCAAGAAAGCATTGGATGGAAAGGCTGAGATGGTAGTACCAAAGCTGGTGAGGTGGGATGAATGTCAGAGGCAGAGTGTGACCTATGAACACCTTAAAGGGGAGAGTTGTTTGGTTCCTTTTACACATCACCATGTGCAGGTAGGTGTTGAATAAATGTTTTGTCAGGAAGGTTGGATTATATTTGGAAACCAAACACATTAGAAAGGGGGGAAGGTTGCCTGGGAAAAGAGTGGTTCACTATTATAAAGTGTGTGGTATCATGCATTTACCAGATGAGAACACATCTCTCAAGACATGAACAAGGCCCAGATACCTCCTTGAATCAATCAAAGCATTTCAATTAGGTATGGAGCAGTTAGTATGTTATGTTGAGGAAGTGGGTTAAACTCTCAAGACCCTATCTAAAAAAAGAAGAGTTAGTTTAGGACTGAGAGTTTTCAAAGGTGTGGCAACAGAGAAGAAAGAGCAGAGGTATCAAGAGCTGAGCTGGAAAGAAAGACGCACAGAGACAACCCAGGAGAAGAAAGAGAAATTAGGACTGAGAAGAAAAGGGAGAGACAGAGGATGGCCATTGGCCCTCAAGATATCTCAGAACAAAAATCTCTTGCTCAAGCCACCAGTTGTACAAAGTTCCTCAAGGACTGATAGAAGTCCCAAGAAAGATCTGCTCTTTCTCCTCCTCTGGGTACCTTTCTATTCATATGCACTGTAATATACTCTGTTGCTTCTTCAGTCAAATGTTTCCTGAAATTTTACCTGAAATTTTCACAAAGAGACTAGAAGTTAGCAAGAAATAAATAGAAGTGTGAATTAAGACAGAGAAACATACCTCTGTCTAAATATTATGAATTTTCCTAGTTGGTGGCTCATTGTGATTGTGGTGGTATTCCTAACTTTTTTGTAAACTTCCTAAAGCAGCAGAGGAAGGAACCAAATGGACCTCAGAGGCCATCATACTGCCCCAAAGCTTTAAATGAGCTAATTATTTTAACATAATGTTATACTTGAATTGCTAATTCCTTCCTTCCTTATTTTTTCCTCTCTCTCTATTGCCCTTTCCTTCACCCCTTTCCCCAGTTAAGTTGTTCAGAATCAATCCTTTCCCCCTAAACCTCACCAGTTGAGTAACATTCCTTTGTGGCAACATTTTCCAAGTTTTCTTTTACTGTGATTTGGTTACTCTGATTTCTGTTATTATATTTATAGGTGTTACCCTATTTTACTTTCCCCTTGTATATTAATAATATTTTTGGTTTGGGTTTTGACAAAATCTTTTTCAACTAAATTTTGCTCTTAGACAAACATCATATTTCTTCTAAATCCTGAATCATGAGCCCAGTCCTATCCCTTGACCTTACCATGATCTCTCACTGCTCCTAAGGCCATCACTGGTTCTATGTCATCCCATACCAACTTGGTTTTTAGTTCCCCCCATGGATCTACATATCCCTTCTAGCAAGCAACATAATACTTGTTCAGAGAAGAGGGTCTCTTATTGTGTCCATTTTTCTCACTCAGACAAGAAATATTTCAAGGTTTCTGTTACTCATTACTGACATATATCTTTCCCCTGGGCAATGTTCTTTAATTTCTCTTTCTAGCATGAGGATTGCCTTCATATTCCTCTGTCTTGATCTGTTCCCTCCATTGCTTTTATTTTGCTTTCAAATAGCCCCCTTTATTTGTTAAGAGCTTAAGGAGTGCAACTGCCAGAGAAAAAGCTATGTTCATCAGGAAGAACTGGGCAAGAGAGGAGCTTACCTGGGGTGCTACTAATGTGGGAGGAAAATTGTCTGGAACACCTCAAGCTTTTTAAATTGCAAAATGACCAGAAGCTGCTGGGAGTGGAAGGAAGTAGGGAAAAAACTGAACCAAGGTCCCTGGGTGTGGGGGCAGAAGAGGAGCTTATGTGGAATACTGCCTTGGGGGTAAACCTGGGAGGAGGAATATTTTTTAAATTGTGTGGCCTGGAGCAAGGCCCTTATCACCACCACCTTCTTATGACTGTAATACTTGCCTCACAGAATTGTTGTAAGGCTCAGAAGAGACAATGTAGGATCTAGCATGATCTTTCCATATACGTGGGAGAGATAAATGGCTAGGGGAGAGACGACATATTTTTGCTATATTAAGATAAATAATTTTTTTTATTTAGACCAACAAACAGTAAACATCATGTGATCTCATTTTCTCTATACCTCCCAATCAACTGTATGACTCAGAAGATTTGGTCTCATATAGAAAGTTATTTGCCTTTTCTTTTCTTAGGTTTTCATCAAGCATACCATTGTATATAGAGATCATTCTCAAATATTTACAGAGATGAAAAAGTAGGCATATAGATCAATAGTTGTTGACTGAATTCAGTTCAATAAGCATTCATCAACATGTGAGGCACTGAGGAGGTGGAGCCAAGATGGCAGAGTAAAGGCAGGGATTTGCCTGAACTCTCCTAAATTCCCCTCCAAACAAACTTAAAATAACACCTCAAAACAAATTCTGAAATGGCAGAACCAGCAAAAGGACAGAGCAAAACAGTTTTCTGCCTCTCAACTATTTAGGAGGTCAGAAGGAAAGGTCTGTCTCACTTGGGTGAGAGTAGAATGCTGTCCATTGCAGGCTCTGGAGGCAATTGAATCTGCAATTTCCAGAGCTCTCAGTCCACAGACAGTAAGGGGGTCAGACAACTGGTCAAAAGGAGATTATAGGAGTTGCTTTGCTGGCACTAGGTGCATTAGGTGCACGACTCTATTGCATTGCCCATATGTGGATCTGGGTTGCAGTCCCAGGGTGAGGAGGAGCACTAGCACACTAGAGCTTCCAACTACAGGGAAGTGGGGACCTGGTCACAACTCCAGGGCAGAAAAGAGTGCTTGTGGTCACTCACAGACAAGAGCACAGGCCAGAACAGTGACCACATTTCTCCTTAGATTATGTCACTTGGAAGAAGTGAAAATTTACAGACTCCCTGAACTAGCTCTGGAAACAGCTGCACAAAAAAACCCTAAAACTTTGTACAGGGCTCCCTCCACCCCAGGAGAAGTGCCTAACTTTAACATAGTTACAGGTCAAGAAATAGGATAGGAAAATGAGCAAACAACAACAAAAAAACCTGACAACAGAAAGTTACTATAGTGACAGGGAAGATCAAAACACAAACCCAGAAAAAGACAACAAAGTTAAAACAGCTGTATCCAAAGCCTCAAAGAAAAATGTAAATTAGTCTCAGGCCCAAAAAGAATTCCTAGAAAAGCTCAAAAAGGATTGTAAAAATCAAATAAGAGATGCAGAAGAAAAATTGGGAAAAGAAACAACAGTGATACAAGAAAATCATGAAAAAAAGAGTTAACATCTCAGTAAAGAAGGCACAAAAAATATGGAAGAAAAATAACACCTTAAAAAAATAATAGGCCAAATGGTAAAAGAGGCACAAAAGTTCACTGAAGAGGAGAATGCTTGGAAAATCAGAATTGGCCAAGTGGAAAAAAATGTGTAAAAATTCACTGGAGAAAAGAACATCTTAAAAAGTAGAATTGGTCAAATAGAGAAGGAGGAATGAAAGCTCACTGAAGAAAATTATTCCTTAAAAATTAGAATTGGGAAAGTTGAACCTAATGATTCCATGAGACATCAAGAAACAGTAAAACCAAATCAAAAGAATGAAAAAATAGAAGGAAATGTGAAATCTCTCATTGGAAAAATGACTAACCTGGAAAATAGATCCAGGAGAGATAATTTAAGAATTATTGTGCTGAGGTTCAAGGTGTGTTGTGAAGTCATCTTGAAAGAATTCACAGACTCAGACCATCTCCAACCCAATCAAAGGCTTTTATTGAGAATTATGCCTCTCAGAAAACAGGGTAGGCTCCAAGAAGGTACCTGCTGCTAGCAAAGCAAGACAAGAACAAAAGATTACAACATTACAGAATATATGAATATTAAAATATAGGAGGGGGTTATTGATATGGGAGGGGCCCTAGCCTTGGTGGAGTTGCACATGTAGTTACCCAGAATACATATAGAAAAGCCCAGTGGGAGGGGTATTTATGTATGGTAATTATATTATAATAAGCCTCTCTGTGTTATAAGTTCACCTTGGGACAGTTCATTGCTATTACTGCTCAGGCATCCATGTGGGCTGTAATTTAGTGGTTAAACATCCTGTTCAATGTCCTATTAGTACTGTTTTCTGATTGGCTGGCTATTGTGGTCCTGTCTGGGGCTAGACTGATGGGCTAGCTATTGTGGTCCTGTCTAAAACTAGATGGACGTGGTTGATGCACCTGCAATTCTAGTGAGGCAGTATGGTATATGAAGAAGTTGAGATATTAGGGGTAGGGGCAGTGGCTAGACTCTATCAATTGGACTACCTGAAAGCCATGATCAAAAAAAGACCCTAGCCATCATCTTTCATGAAATCATCAAGGAAAACTGCCTTGATATCCTAGAACCAGAGGGGAAAAGAGAAATTGAAAGAATCCACCAATCATCTCCTAAAAGAGACTCCAAAATGAAAACTCCCAGGAAATTATAGCCAAATTCCTGAGCTCCCAGGTCAAGGAAGAAATGTTGCAAGCAGCCAGAAAGAAACAATACAAATATTGTAGAGCCACAGTCAAGATAACACAAGATTTAGCACCTTCTACATGAAAAGTTTGGAGAGCTTAGAATGTGATATTCCAGAGGAGAGAGAAGCTAGAATTACAACCAAGAACCACCTACCCAGTAAAACTGAGTATAATATTTTATGGGGGAAAATAGACATTTAATGAAATAGAAGACTTCCAAATATTCCTGATAAAAAGACCAGAGCTGAATGGAAAAGTTTATTCTCAAATA